GGAAACCCTCCTAATGCCACTGCTGGAGAAAGCAGCTGACCAGATAAGTCTAATTAGGAACAATTCTTAGCTATGCAAGGAAGTCAGTTACTGCTCCTCATTCATTTTGACTTAAAGCATGATGGGTTTAGATCAGTTTCATTGGCTTCTCTGAACATTTAGCTGCTAGCTGTCACTTTCACATGAGCATCCGTCAATTCTTTTCTGAATTTGTTATATAGTCTTTATAGAAGACTGTATTCTTGTGGCCCAATGAAGGGAGAGGACAGTGTGTGTGTGTGTATATATCTATCTGTATATATATCTATCTATATATATCTATAAACATCTCTGTTGGCACACCTTCATTATAGCATAAGGCACGGTAACCAAGCTAACACATTCCTGATGCTCCATTGTGCATTTGTGGCTTAAACATACATGTAAAACTAAATATCAAGTGTGAGAGAGGCATTATTATCCAAAAGGATGTTTCCTATGAAGAGACAGAAGCAATGTGTGAAGCCTAGTGCTTTTTTCTAAAATTATCCTGCCCTGGCTGGACAAAGAGTTACAACTATGCAGGAAGATTTTTGCATTTGACCTGCCAACTGTGGAAATCGGTGTCTGAGGAAAGTGCATCTGAGAGGGTAGCAAAGCGAAAGGGGAAGCTTTGTGTGAACTGGCCTGGCAAAGACAGCTGGCATACAGAGGTGGAGGGAAAACTTTCCCACAATCCAGCTTCCATATGATGCTTATTACTACATGATAGAACAATTAAAATCTGATAGATCTTCTCATCCTTGCTGGAAAAATTAGCAGTGGAGGAACTGGATCATTCCTCAGGGAGCAGTGAGGGCCAAATTCTCTTTCAAAAAGAGTGGAAGTGATTCTGAAAGGGCTTGTGACAGCTATAATAATGTGACATACTGGAGCACTGGTAAGAGATTGAACTTCACTGCCTGGCCTGAGTCACGTGCCCTGACTCAAGGTTACAAAAGTTTATACTCCTGCCACATGACTGATCAGTGGCTAATGTTATATCACCCATTCCTTAGCATTGCTAGTTTGGTGTGGGGAAGGGAGCTGCTTTTCATTCCTAGTAATACAAGCCTCTCTCCTGCAATACTTCCTGGAAGAGGAGGCTGGGTCCCGTCGACTCCTATGGAAGCCAATAGGGTTTGGAGTACCGAGTTGCCCTCAGGAGGTACTAAGGTTCGGATCCACAAAATGTCACTGGGCCAGAGAGAGAGAGTAAGAATGACTTGGTAGCCTGGTAGTTAGGGCACCCATATGGAGACTCAGGGTCCAGTACCGTGCTCCAATTACTCTGATTATCCACAGTGGAACAGCTTCAACAGGAGAGATTGAGGGAGCCTCACACCAGAAAACCCCATAGCTCAGTGGTTAGCGTGCACTCTTGTGAGTGGTGAGAGATCCCCTAGTCAATTTTTTTTTCTCTCCCTATACATGGGGGGGGGGGGGGGGGGAGGATTGAACCTAGGTCTTCCACTTCCCAGGAGAGTGCTCTAACCACTAGGCTACAAATCATAATGTGGGCAGTAAACAACCTCTTCCCCCAATTCTGAATAGAACCCAATTTGGTAGGCGGCCTCTGCACTTGCCTGCTGGATCTACCCTGCGTGTTAATTAGGTGGATCAACACCTAAGGCTCCGGTGGCAGGTGCCTGCATGCCTACAGCAAGGCAGCAGTGCATGTGCTCAGAGGCAGAAACTTAAGCACTGAGGGGAATTTTTACCCTGAAAATTTAGTCACTGATAGAGGTTAGGTGCCTACAGGCTATGGTGGGAGTTTTGAGGATTGCAATGGAGCCTAAAACTGGGACTTAAATACTTCATTTTTCTTACTATGTGACTGGTCACCCAAAAGACCTGGCATTTTCAGGAATACTCAGTGGTTATCTCAATACTTGGGTACATATTGCCTTGTACTTCGGTTCATCTTCCTGCAAAATACCTGTAGCTTTTCCAGCAGTTGGATGTATTATGCAACTCAGGGATGCCTCTCTCTCCTTATCACACTTAAATGCACATACTCCTTGATGAAGAGTTTGTTCTTCACATTGTGGTAGCTTGTGATAAGGATTTGACTTCTGGTCTGTGAAGTCAAATAAAATCAAATAAAAAATATGAAGAATGGGAACAGCAGAAAAATCACCTACCCTGAAGCCTTTGCAAGGGTGAGTCTCTTTCAGTTAGTACCAAAATGTGAAGCCATAATTGTAATATAATTGTGTAAAAACAGAGAAACTAAGGCCAGATCCCCCAGGGCTTCTCCTTGAATACACGAGCAAGTAACAGAGGAGAAAGAAGTGGCAATATATTCCTCTTTCCCCAGGTGCTTCCTTGCCAAACTGCATTTTTCTTTCTCCCCACTCCTTTCCACCCAAAACATTGTTTTATGAGACAAAATTCCTACATTGCAACATAAGAGAGGCTCTGAACTGCAAATCATGGGGGTCATTCTGAACTTCTGCAAAGCTCTGGTCCTTTGGGACTTGGGGTTTTGGTTTGATCCAGAGAGAGGTGGCTATAGCTACTCAAGTTCAGATATGAATCTGTATCCAGATCCAAACTTCCATCTGTTTGCGATAGTCTGTTTGGATTCTGGGTTTTGGTTCAGGCTCATCTCTAGAAATGAGGGTACAGATGTTTTCTGTTTAACTATAATCTATTAGAAACCCAGAAGCAATAGATTCCTTTTAAATTGAAGAGTGTGTGTTTATGCTTTTATATGAAGGAAGGCTGGTCCCTGTGAGTAGGGTTCTAGCCTGATACTTGAGAAACCAGAATAAACTCACTTAGTCTGTCTCTAGGCCTCAGTTCCTCATATCTCAATTTCCTGTTTGTAAAATGGGGATAATAGCACTTTGCTACTTCAGAGGGTTTTTTTGAGGGTAAATATACCTTAAAATGTTCAGATACTATGGTAATGGTGAGCCATATCAGTACCTACGCTATGTCCTTCGAGGCCAGAATCCTGTGGAAAAAATAGTATGTGGCTATGTAATTAAAGACATCATCATAATACCAACATACAAGGGGGCAGAATTAACGTTGCACAGGCAATTATAAATCTGGAATTTCCTAACTTTCAAGTGCTTGACTTTGCAACCTAACCAATGTTCTTTTAACAAAGTTTTTTGTATTTAATTCCCTAGATCCGTTTTTAAAGGAAAAAAGTGAAGACAATTCTATTAGGTGCAGTAACAGCCTCCCCCTCCCCAATCATGCATCACCAGCCGGGTCTGAACCTTGAGAATTATAGCTCAATGTTAGCAGTCCATGATACAGAACTAACTAAATCAGCAGGCACTAGGAGAAAATGGTTATCCCAGAGGTGGGAGTGAGCCTCTGGAGCCGTGTTTGTGTGATTGGGGAGCATGGCCAGCTGCTCCTTCTGTCTCTCCCAGAAAGTGGAAGGACCACACGGTCCTGGGAGGGGAGGAGGACTATCAATGCAGCCCAGCTCACTGGGGATGTGGGGGGCGGGGAGAGGAATGTTAGAGGGCGAAGGAGAGAGACAGTCAGTGGGGGGAACTCCAGTCCCATGTGGTGGCCCCAAACTGGGGAAGGAAGCAGTGGGTTGTTGGGACCAGGTGCTGAGGTCTAGGGGTATTAGGGTCACTCTTGCCAAGTATAAGGCATCTTGCCTGACATGTATTCCTGCAGTTTGGACTGTATGTCATGTCTCGCTCAGCTGCGAGCAGCAGCTGCACTTCCTCCTGCAGCTGCTAGAGCCTGCTGAGGAGCCTGACTCAAATCAGTCAGGCTGTGTTTCTGCTTCTCCAATGGCCTGTGTGCATTCAGCCCTATTTTTAGACTGACGAGTGCTAAAATAGAGGCCTGTGAAATACATACAAAGTGAGGGGAAACAGCGCAAAATGTGAGTTTATTTGCATTTTGCTACAAATGCAGAAATAGCCGTGTTTTGGTTTTGCTCAAAAAAAGGCTCCTTTTCCACTAAAAATGAACCTGTTCCCCAGAGAAAATAGGCACACTTAAATGAAAATTGGCTTTGGAATTTGACTGGATTTAAAAAAAAATAAATTAAACTGCTGTTGGATCGATTGCTAAAATACTAGTGTTTTATTGAGATCAGTGAAGTGACTTTTTACTATGTAATGGCATAACTTGCTTGAACAGTAAACATATCTTTCTCCAGTCAAAGTGGACAAATGAATTAACACAAGAGGGTTACATAGTCCACATGAACTGTGGAGAACTGCCTCTTGTCTAGTTAATATTAATTCGCTACTTATAAAGTGATAAGAATCTCATGGCTTCTGTTGCCTCTACTTTTCCCTTTAAATCCTCTTTAGTCAGTTTGCTGAATCACCATGTCTGTTGGCTCTAAGTAAACGTGAGAGGCAATGATGATGATGGGGTGGCACACCCTACTGAGACTGGTTAGGGAGATTAGACTAGGAAATATAGTGCAAACTTAGTTTCCTCTCTTATCGGAGATCAATTTCCCAAGGGAGCTGGAGTGACATAGATAGTGCCAGTGTAACTGTTACTTTTAGCCATGTCATCGCTCTGAACCCAACAACACTACACCACTGGGAGTGCACTGCTGCAGAATGGGAACCGGTTCAGCAGAAATAGTGCTGTAACCTGTGCCTCCCTTTGCACTGAGGTTTCTCTGCTTATTCATGCCCATTCTGGAATTTGCTGTTGTATTTTGTTTTTTTATCTCCTTGCAGTAAAGTTCACACAAGTGGCTTCTCATTGTTCACCTGGCCTTTTCATTTCCTCCCCCCTTTCTTCACTTGACACCTGTTGCTGTCTTCAGTGGGTGAGATGCCCAGGGAATTCTGTCATCGATCAGGGAAGGGGAGCAGAGCATGTGTATGAAAGAGGGACAGAAGAAGAATCCGAATCTCTCCCGGGCAGGCAGCCGTTGGGAGAGTTCTCTTGGTTTGGGTTGCTTTGTGGAGTGCTGTAGGTGTGATTTTTGGGGGCTGTCGCGAGTGCTGTGGGAGGTTTTGTGAATCGCCATGCTGCAACAAATTTTGCATGATATGTACATTGACCCTGAGCTCCTGGCAGAACTGAATGAAGAGCAGAAGCACATCCTGTTCTACAAAATGAGGGAAGAGCAGCTAAGGCGTTGGAGGGAAAGGGAGGAAAAAGAACAAAGAGAGGAAGCTGCGCTGAAAAGGACAGCGAGATTCAAGCAAAGTAAGCTTTTGTGGATGTGGGCTGAGACGGGCCTATGTGATATAGAGGAACAAGATAGGCTGTAAGGCACTCTGTAGATGGATGAGACCACTTGGGGTAGTGTTGCCAAGTGGCTAGAGCAGGGGAATGGGTGGAAGCTTAGCTCCAATGCGCTGCCCTCCGTTCACTGACCAGAGAACCAGCACTATCTTAGGGTAGGTAGTCCTATTGCTGCTATAGACCAACAGTAATTTACTAATCCAAAAAGGCAGAATCAAGTGAGGAAATTTCCATTTAGATGCTGCCCTGGAGCACAATGCCTCCCAGTGCTATTGCCATGGCAGGGCAGTTTAAGCACTACCCGCTGCCCAGGGGGGTGCCTATGGTCATAACCTAGCCTTTAATGTCTGCCCAAAATTTTCAAAAGTTCCTAATGATGATTGGGTGTCTGGTTTCCAGAAACTGATGGGTGTTGAGAGAATTCATGTTTGTAACCTTAGATGGAAAATGCTATAGGATTGCAGAATCCTGGACTTACCCCCAAAAGTTCTTGTGTATGGAGACAAAGGATACAGCATTGTCATTTCTGTGCAAAGGTGTGATTGTGGGTTACATGTAACTTTTTCATCTGCTGAGCTCAATCTTTTTCTCCATAACCCATCACCCCTTGCTAGTATGGAAGGTTTATCCATCATTGCAGGGATTCAGAAAATATGTTAAGGCTCACAATTAATTGGACAAAGCCGAAGCTCAGAATAAGTCTTTTCTTCAGTCACTAATTAGCCAGCTCTGTGCTTTGCTATTGCAGAATTCCAAGATGAGCATATATGTGCTGCTTACATTAAGACGCAACTGGGGTACAAGTCTTGGTTCTGGGTACTAGATATAAGTGTAGGTTTCAGGGCTTAACCAAGCGTGTTTGTGCTTTAAGTAGCATATGGCCTGTTCTTGCATGGTGCTGAGTACATCCCTTTGGATGCTTTACACCTTCAAGCTGGGTCTTTACCCTGATTGTATGCTTTACTCGTAACTGATCCTATAGACTAATTGGAACAATTGCAGGATCAGGCCCTCAAAAAATGACAGGATGTTAACGTACAAAGGTATTCTTAAAGCAAAATCCAGCGGGGAGTGCAGATACACTACTATCCTATGGATTAGCAGCAAATGGGCTAAAATTGTCCCTCACTGTTATCAACATGAGGGCCTGGAGAATCCTATTTTACTTAATTTTCTATTTGCCTCCTGAACAAGTTCTTAAACACACTGTAAAGGGGCTTCTCCTACAAAAGATCACCTCTATACTGCTTCTTTCATATAGTACACAAAGCTTGTTTACTTTGATTTGTAGCTGAGGAAAAAATTAGAAATGCAATTCAGACCCACAGACCAAAACAATATTATAGTGTCAAGATAATCTGCATTACACTCATTCTCTGAGGAAGACAGATGCAGAAAAATCTAACGGCAAAACTATTTATATGACAATTTGTCATGCTGACATCTAAATTTCCATATATAAATTATATATTAATCCTATTCAGCATTATAGTGCAGTAGACTTTTTTCTATGTAACTAATTTTCTGATTTACAAAGAAAGAGGGAGAAAAGCAACAAAGGAACCTATAGAACATGTCTGTGCATAGGTCTGCACATGGACATGCAGAGTAAAGCAACACAGTGACCTAGCTCCATTTTACACTCCTTGTCCCAAATTACCACTATAAGATATCCTGATGGTTTTCCAGAAAATGTTCTTTTACCTTTCGTTCAACACTTACTCCACTGGGCAACCAGTTTTGCTAGTTCCTTGAGTATTGTAATAAATGTCTGGCATGCAGGAGTGCTGGACTTTCAAAAGGAAGGAAGGGGAATGGGATGAATGGGAGGTAGGTGCCTAACTCCCTTAAATTCCTCTGAAAATGTGTGTGGGGGGGGTGTTGTTTTTTTTCCCCCTCAGTCAGCTCAGCTGACATAGGTAAGGATTACAAAAGGTTATAGTCCTTTAATATGATAGTCCCTGTGTTAACTGTTCAACCTCACATGAATTGGGTTTATTAGGAGGCAATGCAAACTAGAGTCTAGGGCTCTGGAGACCTGGGTTCTATTCCTGGCTTTGCTGCTGGTTGACCTTGGGCAGGTCATTTTCTCTGAGCCTCACTTTCCCCATCTGTGAAATGGGGATAATAATACAGACCTGCTTGGAGGTCTTTGGATTAAAAAGTGCTTAGTAGTAGTATTATGCAGATCTGTAATATAATGTCAATGGTCTCCCCTAGAAGCTGGCTTCTTGCAAGGAAAATGTGTTGCAGTTCAACCAGAAATGATGGGCCTCATGCAGGAATTACTGGGTGGAATTCTATAGTCTGTGTTTATGCAGGAGCTCAGACTAGATGATCTAGTGGTCCTTTCTGGCCTTAGAATCTATGAGTGTATGAATCTTTCCCAACACGCATTCTGGAACATACTGAACTCTTTGGATCACATTGTGTAGCAATCTGAAGTCCTCTTCATGCTCCCACTGGAATGTAAAGGAGGTTTCCTATGCTTGGGACCTGCTCCATATAGTAGTATGAGGGATTTCTCCCTCTTTGAATAGTTTCTAGGAAACTTGGAAGTGCCACAACCACCTCCTTCAGTTCCCTGTCAGACTGAGCGATTTGGGTTGCTTCATCTGCTTCCTTTGCCAAAAGTCTGATTCTCTATCCCATGACACTGGTTTTATGCTGGTGTTAATCTGTTGAAGTCAGTGGCACTATACTGGTATAAAGCCACTGTAACAGAGTTGAGAATCAAGCCCTAGCTTTTCTCAGATGCCATGTAGTTAGTTTGACACCTAGAAGAGCTGTGAGAAATGGGTCTTGAATTCCCTGGCCTTTTGGCCTGACATGAGTCAGGATTACAAAGGTTTACACTGTACACACATTAAAAGCATGTAGGGACAAAATTAGAAAGGCCAAGGCACAAAACAAGATTAAACTAGCTAGGGACCTAACGGGTAACAGGAAAACATTTTAGATACATTAGAAGCAAGAGGAAGACCAACAGCAAGGTCGGTCCATAGCTCAATGAGGAGGGAAAGACAATAACAGAAAATATAGAAATGGATGAAGTGTTTTTGTTTCAGTTTTTTATTTGTTTTCACCGAAAAGTGATTGGAGGACGAACCTAGTGGCAAAAATAGGGAAAGAACAAGTTAATAATTACTTAGACAAGTTAGATGTCTTCAAGTTGGCAGGGACTGACCTAAATATAGCCTAGAATACTTAAAGAGCTGGCTGAAGAGATCTGTGAACCATTAGTGATTCTCTTTGAGAACTCGTAAAACACAGGAGAGATCACAGAGGACTGGAAAAGGGCAAATACAGTACCTGCCTATAAAAGGGGGAATAAGGACAACCCAGGGAATGATAGACTAGTCAATTTAATTTTGGCACCCAAAAAGATAATGGAGCATATAATCAAACAATCAGTTTGAAAGCACCTAGAGGATAACAAGGTGTTAGTAAATTGACACAGATTTGTCAAGAATAGATCATGTCAAACCAACCTAACATCCTTCTTTGAATTAGAATTAAAAATGATCTTGACCAACTGGAGAAATGGTCTGAAATAAATACCCCGGAAAGTTGTGGAATCTCCATTATTCAAGATTTTTAAGAACAGTTAGCTAGACAAACTCCTGTCAGGGATGGTCTAGATAATACTTAGGTTCACCTCAGTGTGGAGAACTGGACTAGATGACTTATCAAGATCCCTTCCAGGCCTACATTTCTATGCTTTCTGTAAGTATATTTAGCTGTATTACCAATACAGAAGCTAATCCTGGCATTTTTCTACAATTTGGATTGTTATTTAGGAACTCAGTTTCTTCATAACTGTCTAATGGTGGGGGAAGGGAGGGAAAGATGAAATATATAAACACAAGCTAGCCTTAGCTAGCAGCCTTACCTCTTTGGGCTGGAATGTTGTAAGAGATTGTAGAACAAACAAGCTTGGGCCTATTAATCAGTGCCTGTACAGAAAGCAGTGCTCCAGGAGGTGCGCTTGGTGACTTGTGGGCTTGTACCTTCTAAGCTAAGCCAACCAGACACTTTGGAAATAGTTCACTGTAGTAATTCAGAGCCCTCCCCATCTAGTGTCCCTTCTCTGGCCATTGGAGATATTTGCTAATAGCAGTTGCAGATGGGCCATATGCCATTGTAGGCAACCTCTTCATACCATCCCCTCCATAATCTTATCAAGTGCAGTCTTAAAATAAGATAAGGTGATGGGTTGTGTGTGTTGTTTGTTTGTTTGTTGTTGTTGTTGTTGCCCCTACTGCTCCTCTGGAAAGCTGTTCCAGAGCTTCGCTCCCCTGTGGTTAGAAATCTTCATGTAATTTCAAATCTAAACTTATTGAAGTTTATAGCCATTTGTTCTTGTGCCAACATTGGCACTTAACTTAAATAATTCCACTCCCTCTCTGATGTTTATCCTTCTGACCTATTTACAGAGCACAATCCTATCTCCCCGCAGCCTTAATTTGATTAGGTGAAACAAGCCAAGCTCTTTAAGTCTCCTCTCATACGGTAGGTTCTCTATTCCTCTGATCATCCTAGTAGCTCTTCTCTGCACCTGTTCCAGTTTGAATTCATCTTTCTTAACCATGGGAGATCAGAATTGCATGCAGTATTCCTGATAAGGTCTTGCCAGTGCCTTGAATAATGGTAATAATGCTTCACTACCTGTACTGGAAATACCTCACCTGATGCGACCTAGCATTGCATTAGACTTTCTCATGGTTGCATCACTTTGGCAACTCATCGTCATCCTGTGATAGACCTGAGTGTATTGGTCATTCTCCTCTTCTGTCGCTTCCAACTGATATGTCCCCAGCTTATAGCAAATATTCTTGTGGTTAGTCCTGAAGTTCATGACTTTGCACTATTAGATTTCATCCCATTTATGTTGCTCTAATTCTCAAGGTTGTCCAGATTTTCTTGTGGGATATCAAATCACCAACTAAGAAACCCCGGTT